GGGAATGGAAATTCAAGAGTACATAGGAGAGCAACAATAAAGGAGAAAGCTGAAGGCTCTGAGGAGTGGATTCCTAATGGTGACAATGTGAAGTTGATGTCTGCTGAAGGTCTTGGTGGCTGGCCTCAAACAGCCACCAAGGAAACATGAAGCTACTTTCTTGGAACTGTCAAGGTCTAGGAAGAGCCTTGACAGTCAAAAAACTGAGGGAGGAAAGTCTAAGATTAAAACCCTCAATAATCTTCCTAATGGAAACAAGGAGAGATGGTGGAAGGTTAAGAAAATTAAAGAAGCAATGTGGTATGGAAGAAGAATTCTATGTTGAGCCTAGGGGTACAGGAGGTGGTTTGGCTCTTTGGTGGACAAAGGAAATAGAGCTGAATATCTGGTTCAACTCAACGAATCTTATTCATGCTTCGGTGAAATCTAAAGCAAGCAAAGTTCCTGGTTACATTACCTTTATCTATGGTGCACCAACAGATGAGAGAAAAATGATGGTCTAGAACAAAATGAGGAGTTTTGCTGCAAACATAAGGAATAGTTGGCTCTGTGTGGGAGACTTCAATGATGTTATATCTGCAACAGAAAAATTGGGAAGATTGCCTATCAATATAAGGAGAGTTCTAAACTTCCAGTGCATGTTAGCAGATTGTGAGTTGATGGATTTGGGATATCAAGGATCTAAATTCACTTGGAATAATAGGAGACTTGGGGAGGAGCATGTGAAAGAAAGGCTTGATAGAGCAGTAGCAAATTGTGAATTTAGAGAAAACTTTCAAAATGCCTTGGTTATCGTTGTAGAGCCTGTTGGATCTGATCATCATTGACTCCTTGTGGATTGCGATCATAGACAGAACTTTATCCCAAAGGTTTTCAGATTTGAAGCAATTTGGGCAGAACATGAGGAGTTTCTGGCGGTAGTTAGAAGAGGTTGGAATTGGAGAAGAAGGAATGAAGATACTAAAGTGGAAGAGTTGGTTTGCAGATTAGAGAAATTAAGCCTTGTCCTTACTAAATGGGGAAAAGAAGTTTTTCCCAATGCCAGGAAGACAGTGAGGTTGCTGACCGAGAAGCTTGAGACCTGCCAGAAGGGCTATATGACTGAAGCAGGGAAAATAGAGGCTGAAGAGATCATTAGAGAAATTGAAAAGGCTTGGGATAGAGAAGAAAAATTCTGGTGGCAGCGATCTAGGGTCAACTGGTTGCAATCCGGAGATAGAAACACAAGGTTCTTTCACACTAGTACTTTGCAGAGAAGAGCCAGAAATAAAGTGACCAGATTGAAAAGAGAAGATGGTGAATGGATAGAAAAAGAGGAGGAAATCAATTCTACATTTGCTCAGTTCTATTCTGAGTTATTTGCTTCAGAAGGAGTAAGAGACATGGAGGAAGCATTACAGTACATTCAAAAGAATGTGACAGAAGAAGATAATGAAATGCTAGGAAGAAATGTCACAATCGAAGAGATTAAAGGAGCAGCTTTCCAATTAAATGGCTCGAAAGCACCAGGCCCTGACGGATACTCTGGCTTATTTTTTCAAGCTTCATGGGGTGAGGTTAATCAAGAAGTAGTAGAAATGGTGCAAGATTTCTTTATGAATAATGCCAGCTTAAAGCCTCTGAATAAAACAAATGTGGTACTAATACCAAAGGTGGAAAAGGCTGATAGTGTGGGTCAATTTAGACCCATTGGACTTTGTAATTTTGCTTACAAAATAATTTCAAAGATTCTGTCTAATAGAATTAAGGTGGTGCTGATGAAAACTACTACGCAAAATCAAAGAGCTTTTGTGGCTGGTCGGTTGATACAAGATAATCTGATTATTGCTCATGAAGCTTTCCACTATTTGAAGAATAAGAAAAAAGGAAGGAAGGTTGAAATGGCAATGAAGATTGACATGAGGAAAGCCTATGACAGATTAGAATGGTGCTTCATTGAAGAGGTGATGAGAAAAATGGGGTTTGGAGAAAAGTGGATTGGTTGGATAATGCAGTGTGTGACCTCTGCTAGCTTAAATTTGATTGTTTCAGGGAAGCAGGTAGCAGGAATCAGGATGGGAAGAGGGATTAGACAAGGGGATCCATTATCTCCTTATCTTTTCATTTTAGCTGCTGATGTATTATCCATTATGATTCAGAGGCATGTGGAAAGTGGAAGGTTAAAAGGAATTAAGTTAGCTAGCAGATGTCCAGAGCTATCTCATTGTTTCTTTGCAAATGATGCCCTCTTCTTTATCAATGCAAAAAGACAAAACTGTAGAAGGCTGAAGAAAATTCTGGACTGCTATTGTAAGGCTTCTGGTCAGGCGATAAATCTGGAAAAATCCTGTGTTTTCTTTTCAAAAAACATCTGTGAGGCTGTAAAATTGGATGTTTATGAGGAATTAGGGATTAATGATTGTGTGGATCCTGGTAAGTATCTTGGACTTCCTATGATCTGGGGCAAATCGAAGGTGGAAGCTTTATCTTTTATGAAGTGCAAAATGGGGAAAAAACTACAAGGATGGAAGCAAAAGTTACTAAGCTTTGCAGGAAGAGAAGTGCTCATTAAAGCAGTAGCCAGCACTATTCCAATCTACCCTATGACCTGCTTTATGTTTCCAAAGAAAGTTTGTAGTGATTTGGATAGCATGATCTCCAAATTCTGGGGGGGACAGAAAGAACATGAGGGAAGAATACATTGGAAAGCCTGGAAAGTCATGAGCAAGATGAAGAGTGAGGGAGGCATGGGATTTAGAAGTTTGGAGGCATTTAATAAAGCTCTACTGGCCAAGACTGCTTGGCGAATCATTCAAAACCCGGATGATCTTTGGTGTAGGATTTTGAAAGGAGCTTACTTTGCTAAAACGGATTTCATGCAAGCTAAAAAAGGAAGTAAAGCCTCCTGGGGATGGACCAGCATTTTAGAAGGTAGGGAACTGTTGAGGAAAGACCTGGGGTGGAAACTAGGAAGTGGTGAAAAAATAAAAGTTTTTACTGATAGCTGGTTGCAGAATTCAGTGGATGGAAGGTTGAGAAGTAGAGATTTAGCAGAAGAAATGAAGAATCTTCGAGTGAAGGATTTAATGAAAGATGGGCAGTGGTGTTTTGATGGGGTTGATGATTGGTTTACGGTTGAGGAAAAGGATGAGATCAGTAAAACCAGAATGCCAGCGATCAATGCTGTTGATAAACTCATCTGGAAAAATAGTAGGGATGGGACTTATGCTGTGAAATGGGGCTATAAGGTGGCTTTGAAGCAGGAAGAGGGCAAGAAGATTTTTGACCCTAGTGGCTCTTATAAACCTTCAAAAACCTTGTGGAATGGAATTTGGCAGGTCAAGATGCCTCCTAAAGTTCTGCATTTTTTATGAAGGGTAGTGAATGGAGCTTTAGCAACCAAGGAATCTCTTTTCAAGAAGAAATGCTCTTTGGATCCAAAATGTGAAATATGTAAAGTGAGTGTAGAAACAGTTGAGCATGCTCTTTTTCTATGCCTATGGACAGTACAATGCTGGTTTGGCTCCCCTTTGACTCTGAAGTTTGAAAATCTGGGGAACTTCAGAATTGATAGATGGCTGGAGGATTGGTTTAAAAAAGGCGATAAGACCCAAGATTACGAAAGAGCTATCTTTAGTAGCATCTGCTGGGGAATATGGAAAGCTAGGTGCAAGTTCATGTTTGAACATGTGGACACTGATGCCTTTTTGTGTGTTGCAGGAGCTCTGAGGTTGGTTAGAGATCACTGGGAAGCGACAGAAAGGAAGAGAAATATTATAACAGTGAAACAGGATTTTGATCGTCAACTAATTTGGAAAAGACCAATGACAGGGACAGTAAAAGTGAACATAGATGCTGCTTATTGTGCAAAAACAAGGAAGGCTGCCATTGGTTTGATCAGTAGGGATTGGGCTGGTAGATTTTTGGGAGGAATTGGGAGAATGGTGGATGCTAATTCTGCATTTATGGCAGAAAGCCTGGGCTTGCTGGAGGCCCTAGATAATAGAGACCTGTGGTGGGGAGGTAATCTGATTATTGAGATGGATTGCCAGGATTTATACTATAGGGTACGAAGGAAAGAAGCCAAGGGTTGTGAATGGTCTTGTGAGGATATTGTGATGAAATGCATTAGCTTGTTGCAGACTTCACATTTTGAGGATGTGGAAGTGTCTCTGGTAGCAAGGAGTGGGAATTGTGCTGCTGATTGGCTGGCAGCTCAAATTATGAGGGGATTGGTACCGCAAGGATGGTTGTCAAAACCACCAACCTCTCTGACTGAGTTGCTGAGGAAGGATTTGGAACCTAGGGAGCCTGCAGTGGAGATTAGGACTGGTATAGGCTAAGTTTCTAGTTTTATTTCGTTCTTTGCTGTATTTGCTTTTCTGGTTAGCTTTCTGTGTGGTAGGTTGTATCTTAGGCTTTTTTGAGTGTTTTCTCTTGGCCTCGGCTATTGGTGTTTGTATCCTTTTTTGCTTATTAATAAAATTGACTGTTTTGACCAAAAAAAAAAAAACTCCTCCGATCCTTCACATAAAATCTATTTAACTAATTTGATTAGATTAAGAAAATTAGATTTTTTTTTTTGAGCTGGTAACTTAGTTAATTATAAGAAATATAACGTTTTTTTTCCTAAAACACCATACGATAACCATTTTTTCTTAATATCATCTCTCTCTCATACTTGGTTATGATCGAAGAAGTATTAATATGAATAATTTTTTTAAAAAAATTGATAAATATAAGAAATATGTTTTATATTTAAAATCAAAATCAAAATCAACTTAACAATTAGATCTTATAAAAAAAAAACTAGAGGAGTAATAATTATTATAAAATCAATACTTTTGATAATAGTTAGTTAAATTTCAACTGAGACTTACAGATAGAGCCACAAGTTCTTCCAGCAGCCCCTCCAAATGGCGCAAATGCTGTCATATGAGGGGTTTTAAATAATTCATTAAAGGTACCCTTTTTAAAATTTTTATTAGTTCTTATTGAAATTACAACCTAGTCTTGCTGAATTTAACAATTGTAAGTGATAATTCTGATTATGTTATTACCTATAAACAAGTTAAGGGAGTTCTGAAGTACATCACTCAATATGATGTGAACTTAAAAAGATATCTACATCCCCAAAATCAAACACGCATAGAAACCATGCTGTTACATTTACAAACCTTTTTAGCTAACATTACACGTCAATTTCGAAGAAAAGATAACTCCAACTTGTCAATGCCTTGAGGTCTCAGGAAGTAGGCAGCTATTGCGAGTATGATGATGAGTACAGCAATCCATAAGCTCAATCCTCCTGAAAAGAAATTAACACACGTATAAATAATGATCATGAAAGTCTCAACAGCCATAAATCTAAGACTTTCCAACAACCCTTTGAGAAGTTAGGCTTGAAAACAAACCACTAAAAGTTCAGCGCATTAAGTTGTGCAGTTGGATAAGGTACTCTAAACTAATATTTGGTTTCATGAAAGATTAACCAAAACATGCGAGACCCATTTACAGTAATCGTATAACAGAACCAGGGACTTGATTCAGTTATCAAGCTACTTTAATTTTAAATATGCACATACCACTTTTCTGCTTCTCCTCAATTACAGTAACCCTTGCACTTGAATCAAAGGATACAGAAGCCAACACCCTGTACTCAAGAGTCAAAACCATCAGTAACTTTCTATATGCAAACTTCTAGTTCCAAGTAAAAACAGTAACAATATATTGGTTTCAAACCTTGAATCATGGGAGAAAGCTAACGCAGTTACTATTCCAAGGTGAGCCTTTTTAATCATTGACAGAATCTGCATATTTGTCGAATTCACGATCACAACGTCTCCTGAAGGTGTTCCACTGCATGTCAACCCACCAAAACAGAATAGATAAGTTCTGGACAAGTTTCACGCACACTCCTGTTTTATCTTTTTTAACCTATCTTTATTGACCACTAGAAAAGATGTATCAGATTACTTACCATGCAACTAACTTTCCATCAGTTGAGACATTAAATGCAGAGATTGCATCACGAATAATATGCTTCGAACCAATCCTTGCCCCAGTTTTTGCATCCCATGTCAGAATGCTCCCGCCTTTGTCTATATATCCAGCAATAAAATAGTTTTCAATTAAATTAAACATGACTACCCTTAGATTACTTCTAATCCAGTGAGCATATACCTGTCATGGCAGCAATATACAAGACATGGGTCCTATCGCTAAATCGAGAAAATCTGCAAGAGCTAAAAACCTCACCCTGCATGGTAGTTAACAAAATATGATTACGATACAAATACTGAAAAGTCAGATGATTACTGAAAAAAGGATGATCTAAAGCACTATACTGTCTTATGGTCAATGAATGCAGTTCAGAACATTACCCATTGACCAGTGTAACGGTGGGGGGGGGGGGGGAATTAAAACCTTCTAGTACATTTTGGCTAGATCTCGATGATTATAACTATCATTTCTATGCAGATACATGAGGGATATTCCATAATACTTCTTAAACAGTTTGGCTACAATTAGGATACATATACGTCATACGTGTGACATGAGATGAAAATTTGTCAAAGAATGTAAGGTGTTTTTTTTTTTTTTAATTTCATACTACTTCCGGTCCTTAATATAACAGCTCGTTTAACTTTTATTTTGGTTCTAATTATAAGACCTCAATTCACTTTGTCTCTTATATTTATCTATTTTTTCCAAGTTGGTCCTTATAATAATAGTAATTCTCACCAATATACTTGATTAACAAGAATATTTTAAAAAATACAATACTTATTTATTACAAATAACTAACTTAACTATTTTTCTTAATATGCTCAATTTGGTCAACCAGCTCTTATATTAAAAATCGAAGGTACTAGTAACTATTCTCTTGATATATGCCATCAGTTTTCTTTCATCCTATCCTTTCTTGCTTTTCATTTAACTAATAATTTGGTCTCCCACATATTCGACAGAGCTTAATGAGCTAGATATTCATGACTGGTGGATAATATAGCATGTGGTAAATTTTATATCTTATCTTGATATCAATGACTTGTATAATCACCCGCTCTACCATTGGATATTGATTCTCTTTGTTTCTCAAAGTCACTTTATGATCTTATGCTCTTTTTAGTATCAATTAACAAGTCCAGTCCGTGTGTGTGTGTGTGTGTGTAAGCAACATCACTCCAGAATTGAGGAATGCGAAGATAAGAAACAGACAGATGCCTAGCCAAGGAGTATATGTCAGTCAGATGAGGTAGTTAGAATACTTCTGATCAAAACACCAGTTGTTTGTTATGTGTTGATGTACAAATCACTTCCATCTGATGCAGTAGTCAGAAAAGACAACTATGAAAGATCACCTTCTTCTAACTTACCTTGTAAAGCTATCTACCAATCAATTAGTAGATACTGGAGAGCAATGATGCTCCACAGGAAATGATGACAAGACCATAAAAAATTAGCATTACCAACAATAATTATATAGTTTTGTAACATATAATTTTGAAGTATCATAAATTATTCAGCCTTCAAAAAGCAGAGACTGCACATGTTTTCATTCTACCAATTATTTAATATTTAATTTATAGATTCCACATTTCATTACTTACTCATTGCCAATAGTGGTGTGCAGTTCATTGTATACCCAATGTCACTCGCATTAGTTTAAACCCTATAGTCAACTTAACATTCTTTCTGTAAGTGACAATAAATTGCTCACATTTTTACTTGACATGGAAGTTAGGACCGTTGATAAGGAAACATCCCAAACTCTGCACGGGCCACCACTTCCTAAAGAGACAAGCAGTTTACCATCAGAGCTGCAAGACAATGAAATCAGATTATAAGGGAAACCCTCATCAACGATAAAACAGAACTTCTCTTTTCTTGCTTCCGAGAACCTTTTCTTCTTTTCTTTGTAGTATTCAATTAAAAAGTAAAATCTCCATAATATTGCTAAACAACAAACCTGAAATGTAAGTCTTTTACTGTTGAATAAGCCTTAGTCTCATTGAGAATAATTTTCATGCTAGGCCACTTGAAAGCCCTCAGATTGCCATCCTGTACTGCACCAAAATCAGAAAATCATATAGCATGCCAATCCTTTATCAAAACAGACACTCCATACCTTGTACTTGGTTTGTCAAATGAAGCTTGAAACAAAATTCTTGCTCATAAGGCATCTAAAGATAAGGAAACACCCTGAAAACACAAGCATTCAGCTCCAACTAAATCTTCCAAGTTCCATATCACTACAAAACTTTCATGTTGCTACGAAGTTCTAACCTTCTTTGTTCCATCCACCAAATATTCCAATAATAAAAATACAAAATCCTTCTTATACAAATTATAATAAATCTAAAATTGTTCAAGAATTAATAGAAACAAGAGAACGTAATAGCACTTTTTTTTTTTTTTTTCTGTTCAAGATATTAACATAAAAAAAATGTTAACAGAGCCTTTTTGACCAGGTGGTGGAGGCTCAAGAGTTTGATATGAACTTCATTCGTTCTCCTAATTAAATTCAATTTTAGGGACATGGTAGACATGTGCTATGTGTATACTCTATACCCAATTGGTTTGAAGCAAAGAGGTATGTTGAAACATATAGAAAACCATCATAGCCTTCTCTTAATACTCTAAGCTTGTGAGGTGAAATCTTTCTCGACATATATATTACTATACTAAAGAAGAAAACACCAAGCATACAACACGACTTCTATTTTTTCGCAGGCATCCGTTTTGATTGGATTTTGAATTAATACATATGCTTCCAAGTTGTGAATTGTAAATCATATCATCATGAGATTCAATAATAAGTGGAAAATAATTCAAAATATAAAATATGACATACGTATATCTTCATAGTATGCATAAACTCAAGATTGTAAAGCTGACATAAGAGTTAAAAACATGACATATGGATTGACGTTTTATCAAATATGGTAGCAGTCATCCAAACCTCCTCAACAATCTACAATAACCATTATGTTAAATTTTTTCCTTTCTCTTCCTGTTTCTCGCTGGTTTTTTTTTTTTTTTGGGGGGGGGGGGGGGAGACAATGTTGAAGACTCATCCGCTTCTTTTTTAAATAACAATACCACATTGGCACTGCTCTGTCTTTGAGGAAATATTGGTTAAAATTTGTGGCATTTATTACTGACTCTTGAAGACCATGGATCCACACAGCACATTGAATAAAATAGAATAGCAGTAACAGAGAATTAGTTGAGATGCTTCTGCACAGCCTTTATTTGTTTCAAGTTGCACAGTCTTTTCCTGGTTATAAGCAGTATTATTTTCATAATGAAAATACTTTACCTCCCCACCAACAGCTAGCATAGTGCCATCATTGTCAAACACCAGAGCTAACTGCTGCCCGACATCCTCTAACTCATTGAGTACTTTATCAGAAACCTTTAGACGTAACTTATGATTTTCTGCACTCCTGTTTTGCTCCCATTCAAACCATCTGCATGAACAATACACAATCCATGTCATAATGTTTCAAAGCTGGAGATAATGAAGTTCCACTAGTGTATTAAAAATTAATATCTTGCCTAGTGCGCATTTAGATTAAACTTTCAGATTTACAACAACTTCTCCTCAATGTATTATGATATAAACTAATATTTTTACGAAGGAGACAACTTGAGCAAACAAGGAAAATATGAGAAGCAATATACCTGCAACCCTTTGGCATCGCACAAATAATGCCATCACCGGGGTGAAGTGCCATTCTATAAGGCAACTCGGAATCAGTTCCAAGCCTACCCACCTGTAATATTGAAGAAATTACCCAAACAATAAGGGCAGAATTAGATAAGCACAAGCCACATGCTTTTAATGATATCTTTCTACAATCTTAGATTTTCATTACAAAAATCACTAAACCATTTGATGTTGAACAATTTTCTCAAACAGGTCACGTCAAAATGCAGCAAAACATACAAATTCATGCAATCTAAACAACTCGATTTCATAATCCATGGGAGTGAGGAAAACATAACAGAAAAGCAGCCCAATCAACTTTCATCACCACACCACTAAGACGAGCCTAAATTCATATAGTTTCATCAAAACACGCATGAATCAGCTATGAACCTCATGACAAAAATCAGAAAAAAAAAACTCAGATCTAATTCCTCTAGTTTCAAATCAAAAAACACAGGCCAAATCAAATCCATAAGAATTCAGAATCGAGAGAGCAAGAGAGTAGCATACTGGCTGATCAGATAGAGAATTAGACGCGACATCAAAATGTGCAAGCAACACGGCATTGGGAATACCACTACTGCCTTCACCACCACCACCAGTGATCGCAAGGAAGTGCTCCCCGAACTGCTCGGGTGGGAGAGGCATGGAGCTCTCGGCGTTGTTAGAGGCTTCACCAGTCGTTTGATTCAATACTGATTTGATAACATTTGGTGGGATCCATGCTACTGAGTAGGAAGGAACGCCGTATTTCTTCAGATTTGGAGGAACTGCTACACCGCTTCCAACCATTTTCTCTCTTTTCTTGGCTCTAGGTGCTTCTGACTATTCTTTCGCATCAACGTTCCAGGCTGATTTTAGAGCTCATCCTTTTCCCGCAACAACAGCATTTTTGTGCTAAACAAAGGCAATATATGCTCTTTGAATGATTTGGTTAACGGAATAAAAGATAGGATTAAGTGCGTGCAGCACTATTAAATATTCGCCCACAAACCCAATGTCTTAAGGGCCTGTTTGGTAATCAAGATTTTTTATTGGCAACGGGCGAGCTTTGGTTCAAAGAAGAGGCAGAAAAGAAATGAAATCTAGGACATGATTTTCCTTTAAAGAGCTGAAAATTTGTTCCCGCCAAAAGTGATGGGAACAAATTATCAGTCGTCTATGCTAAAGACTGATTGATCCATTTGCCTCCAAAAGTTTTGATTATGGAGTATGTCTAGTGCTTGGCTGGAGAGTAATAATGGAATACCTATTGGTGATCATGTCCTGAACGTCTCTCTATCTTTCTTCAACCTTGGTGCCACCTTCTTACACTCTCATCATCAACATCACTAATGTAGACGAACGCCATAACATCATCGTATTTACCTATATGCTTCGCCCTTCCATTATTCACTCTTAGCTACTTCACTGCTCGCCAATTAATATCTTCATATGACTCAGAAAGTTGGTATATGAAAACTTGTGTGTGTGTGTATTCATTCATATACAATGAAAAAGTTTTAAGTCTGTTTGTTACTTTGAATATTCTGAAACGTCTAGGAAAAAATCTAACACGATAGCCATGCTATTTGAGTTAAGTAAATTGATCTTTTATTGCCATTTTTATGTGTCAACATACTTTGTTTCGTGAATAAAAAGACTGAGCATAATTAGAATTTTGTGCAAAATTTTGAATATCGTGCATGAAATTAGAATTTGTATAGAGAAATTTGAATATGCTTAAAAAAATTCAAATTTGATGAGAAAATCTGGATTTACTTTATCAAATTTAAATTTACTTGCTCTTTTTCTTGTCATATTTATTTAAATCATAATTTATTGAATTTTTAATAATATTATTATTCTCTAAGGTTGGAAAACAGTTTTTTTTTATTTATAACATTTTTTCTTTTATCAAAACAGCATTTTTTTTATTGAATAATATTATATTCTTTCATTAAGGGTAATATGGTAAAATGACTTGATTTTTCATATTTTCATCCAAGCAAACATAAACTTTCCATTGAACCCATTTTCAATTCCAATGTGAACTAAACACTCACTCACTCAGAAATTTTTCATTCCCTTCCTTTTAATTCCTTTTCATTCCAATCGATTCTTTGAACCAAACGAACCCTAAAGTAATGATTGGTGCAATTTTACCCCTAAAGTTATTAATATAGTGCAAGCAATTTCACCCTAAAGTTATTAAAACGGTGCAATCTCTTTAATTGTTAAAGTATTGAGTCAGCAGAGTTTGAATAAAATATCTTATTTAGCATATGAATGGGTAGCTAGCATGGGGGGGGGGGGGAAACCTTATTTGGTGTATGTCTGGATATTTCAAAAGAGCTTTTAACCATAAGGAGAAAATTAAAACAGAGGTGTATACGTTCTGCTCTTTGCAAATGAGGAGTAGCGGATTGGGAGCTGTACTAATGCCTTATTAGAATACTTTCTTCACTCTCTGGGCCAGACTGGATCAAGTGGAATCTCTCTCACAAAGCGGGATTACCTCAACTAGTCCATGTTATTTGATTATTTGTGCTAGGATATTTGGGTGGCAAGATGTAATAGGCTTTTCGACTCGGAGGGACTTGTGGAAACTTCTCCAAGTAGCTCGAGCCTTAATTGAGCTGTCGTTGACCAAGAACTTGTTTAGAGGACTAGGTTTTTCAACCTCTTCCCTCAAAACGTGAACAATCAGGTGGACATTCCGGAAGATGCTGTCAAATTGGAGGTGGATGGATTTGTGCTGGCAAGTGGACGATATAGATGTGGACGAGTAGTCAGGACTAGAGATAATACATGGATAAGTGGAGTTAGTTACAAGTTATCAAGGGCTTCGCTGGTGATAGCGGAAATTCTAGGAATGATTCATGGATTGTACTAGTGTTGGACTGATAATGTTTTCTTGTTTTCTATCTGTATTGAAGGGGTGAATTTAATTTATAGGGGCTATGAGCTTTCTCATCCTTTCAAAGATACTATCGAAGAAGCCAGAGACCTTGTGAGTAGGAATTGGATAGTGGAGCTCAACCATACCCCACAGGAGGAGCTAATTTTAACTGGTCGACTTGCTAAACATTCTCATGGTCTGATGGAAAATTACCGAATCTTTGATCACGAGCCATCTGAAGGCCTTTAGATGGATAGTAATGATGGAGGCTAGTTGTTTCCCCCTTTGTTTTTCTGTTTTTGATATACTTTTGTAGAGTTTTCCTGTTCTAGCTTTTGTCATGTAACTTTTTGGTTTTGATTGTAGTTTGTGCTATATGTTTTATGGTGTTAATACAAGTATTTAGTTTACAGTGGGGAGGGGGAAAAAAAAAAGGAGGAGTAGTAGACTAGCAGGCGGTCAACTAAACTCATGTTTACTGGCCTACAGGCAAATTAAAGTGCTCATCCTTGACCGATCATGTTCGCGAGAAAACCCAAATAATCAAGAGCAAATAGCAAAAGTCCAATATTCGTTAATCAATTTTCCTTTTTTCCCAAGCAGAATCAGATTTCAAGAAATATATATCAGAATATAGATACTAGGAACCATAGTTCTTCTTCAACCTTAGCCGAATATATGGATGTGCAATTTCTGGAAGTCTGAAAAGTTCATTTTGTTTTAACCACTTTTGTGTTTTTTTTTTTCACATGGTTACAAACTCTTTTTAAAATATTCAGACATAAAAAAATCCATGTCCGCTGCCCATTCATATGCCAAATAAGATTTCTTTTTGCTCAAACTACGCTGACTCAGCATTTT